GAAAGTCATCACACCTCCAACCTTTCCACATTTTGTCACGCAAGCAATCACTAACCTCGGTATATTCCAGTAGGATTTTATGATAGACTGACGCAGAGTTGTGAATAGTTGTTGAGCTAGCAAGATCCATTTTTCTGCTTATCAGCAAAATAGTTTTCACAGTTTTTTTGTTTGCTTTTTTATAAAAAGAAGGTGAAAAATTTTGTGTGTCAAGGCAAAATTCTTTTGTTGGTAGAGTTGAGAAACTGCAGTACAAAATCAAATAAAATTTCAAGATGAAATCTTAAACTAAAGTATCGAAACTAAAAGTATCGATCTTATTGGTGATATTAATCCAATACTGATACCAACTTGGTGGTGATATTTTGGACAGATCCGCCCACCTCTGGTTGGTACTGAGCTTACCAGTTTAGGGGTGTCAGACTGAAGGAGATAAATGATACATTTTCATTTCTAATTGTAAAAACAGTGTAGTCTTTTCCTTCCACTTCATGATTATGCACTATGCTGTGTTGTTGTGTCACATAACATCCCTGTAACAAACACTAAAGTTTATTTTTAAGGTGAAAAATGTGACATAATTGCATGAATAATTAAGCGAGGCACTGAGCATACTGAGCTGTTTTTGTTGTTCATATGGGCTGAACTCTGGGCCTTTCTGTCTACAGACTGCCAAAAACCAACAAGAGAACTCCCCTCATCAGGAATACAGTGAAAAATAAAGCATATGAAAAGTTTGTTCATCTAAAGAGGACATGCAGAAAAACAAACAAGCCACAGAATAATAGATGCTGCATGTCCAGTGACAGCAGGGTGTGAATGGATTCTAGTGGAGTGTGACATTCTGGGAGGACTCAATTTTAGCAGCATAGCACTAAACTAAAACTTTCAGTGATTGCTCACAGGCATACATTTTCATGGGTGACTAAATCTCTCTTTTGTAAGTACAAACACTGAACAAAAGGTGAGTCACCACCAACAATTATAATTGCATGCTTGTACTTGTCTCCTGTGGTATCCCGCAGCAGACGATTAGAATAAAACTCAGACAAAGCTCCCAAATCACCGAGTGCACTCTTCTGTTTGGAGGGTGTGTTTACTGTCAACGTCTCGCAGGAATAATGGAAGTATTTGGATAAGAGGAGCCCAGACTTTTACATATCCCACATGGATTCCTTCATCCTCTCCCAACTATTTATCTCTTCCCACCAACATTTTGTTTGCATCCAACCTCCACACACGCACACGCACATCGCTTTCCATGTTGAATCATCCCAACTGAATGCATCGTTATGTTTTCTGCAAGTGGTTGAAAAAATGTATGTGCGTGCGTGCGTGCGCGCGCGTGCGTGCGTGTGTGTGTGTGTGTGTGCGCCTTTCTGTCCAAATGAACAGTATGCTGCTTTGCAGACTTTCTCTCTCAAGTGTTGAAACTTCATAAATCTTTGTGGTTTTTGTTTGCTTCTAACATGATGAGTGTTTAGCCTAAACCTTTTGCGATGACAATGTAATGTTGTGTTTGCTAACCTTATGGCTTTGTTTTGTTCAACTTTTGTTTTAGATTATAGAGCAGAGTGATTAGATGCATATGAAACAAAGAAGCCTATTTTCACATTTTCTCCTTAGCCCATAATGACAATAAAACTTAATCTAGATAGAAAGAAAATAACAGGTAAAAATGATGAATGTGTCCGGCTGAAATCACTTCTTCAGGCTAATTAGCGGACTGAAACTATTCCTGTTTCTGTTACCTCAGGAGAAAAGTGCACACTCACTACTGCTTTGCACTAACATTGCCTTGCATGTTTGAAAAGAAAATTGGGTAATGGATGCAACAGGTTTTGGGACTACAGAGCGAAGAAGATGAGAGTTTCAGTTCCAGGTAAAAATAATTCAGAGCATGTCCAGCAAGCATGCTGGACTTGTTTTTCTTCTTAACGAATGTGTCTAGCATTCAGGTTCCCACCATCGCAGAGCTTTCTCCACACTGGCAGCACATAAGTGCATCTGTACTCAGGGGAGACCAAGAAAAACATTGAGGAAAACATCAACCACAAATGAAAATCCTGCTTTAGGTAGAAGGACTGACGGGATTAGTGTAGTGCAAAGTCATTTTCTCCCATCGTACTGTTTCCTCCTTTCTGTTGTCTCAGAAGCAGGAAAATCATTTGCCTGGTAAAAGAAATCTGAGAGCTTTCCTGTGTCATGCCAATGATGATCCAATCCAATTTGGATTGCCTTTCCGGGATTGTTTCTCATCCAGGAATTTGGGTTTCCTCATAATTCTGCCCAAGAATTCTCCCATGATTAAAGAAGGGGATCAAAACCAGCACAAAGAGCAACTTCTTTCAGAAATCTGTGCAGTTTGTTTGTAATGTGGTTTCCAGCATGGTAGAGCAACATGTCATAATAAAAAAATTAAAATGAAGTGGCTAAAAGATAGGAACATCAAAACTTATTTGACTTCTGGCCAAGAAATGTCTCAGATCCTGATCTGACTGAGGATTATCAGTGTTTTCTGAAAAACACCAATAATATGAGAACCAGCCACCAGTAGTCTGCAACTGAATTTAGAAGTTTGTGTCCGCAGATAGTGATGGGCAATGTGAACTTAGGATTTCATTGTGATATTTTGTGGTAATATTGTGGTAATAATAAAGATCATGGTTAAAAAGATGAATTACTTATTTAAGTATCTGTATCGTTATGACTGCACAACACAAATATTATTCTTTAATAACATTCTCTTTTATAACAGGCTTCTCCAGGATGCCAGCTACTTAAGTGTGATTCATGTCACTAAACTACCTTTAATCATATGTTCAATTGTACTTTTATATATTGATGATCTTGTGGAACAAACAGTGGAAAAATAGTAAAAATAATAGTAATACTGTCAGAGTTGTTTTGAAAATAACTGAAAATTTTCACAATAAACTATAAACGATATATGATACATGCTCCACCCTGCAGCATGTTAGACTGAATTGTTGCAGACATGAAAAGGAAGGATTAACACTATAAATATTGACTCTTTGTATTTATGTGATGTTATAGTTATAAAAGCAAAAAATAAATAAATAAATAAACATAATGAAAATACCAAATCTGTGTGCTATTTGTGTATGGCTGTAAAGTGAATGCTAGCTTGGCCTTGGCTATGTGGAGAGTTTATGACAACAAATCACTTTATTAGGAGCTTACTGCTTAATAAACCCTTCATCTTTAAAGGCTTTTAAAGGCAGCTTTGCATTCTTTCATGTTTTCTGTGCCTCTCTACATTTTTAGAGGCTGCTAACTGAGTGTTGAGGAGTGAAAATAATTCTAGTTCAGATTGACTCCTGGTTGGTGAACCTATTTACTGTTCTGGGTTACTGGGGAAACTGGGAAAACGGGAGGAGGAGGGAGAAGCTCCTCAGGCTAACATGTTTTGTCAAGGACAAGAGACTAACAGGAAGTTAAATCAACCCAACTTTCAAAATAAAAGGAGCCTTTGACCAGACATTTCAGTGGTTGCACACAAATTTGTCTCAGCTTAACAAACTTTACAAAGCCTTATTAGAAGCTTTTTTTCCTCTTATTTTTAACACTTTGGACAGTATTAACAAAGCACTGGGTCATAATTTGTGACTGAATTGTACTTTTTTTTTAAATTGGAGAACATATCAGAAGGATCCTCCTTACTTTTCTCAGACCAAAGTTTTGAACTCTGAACCATCTGATCAAACTTTACTGAATCTCTTCCACAGAATGAAACAATAAAAGGATAAGGTGATAAAACGGTTCTAATAATAAAGGCGAAGTCAGTATAGGTTGCATTTGTGGCTTTAGTTCACACTAGAAAACAAATGGATTAATTTAAGTTAGCATTAGCTTTCTGCATGCTAAGTTAACTAACTATGTTCAACTTTCACACATTGAGCAATTATTACTGATAGAAGTTACTAGAATAAGTCTATTACTATATAAAACTAATGGACATTGTTATTATTGTTTTACATGATTAAACATTAATGCTTCAAATTTTATCCACAATTTTAATTATTTGCATCTCGAGCAGGTTTTCTCCAGATTTACAATTTTGTCATTCAGCCAATGAGTTGCTTCTAACAGTAAATGAGACAGGTATCTCATTAAGTATACAAAAACATCAAAAGTTTCATAATTGTGGAGAAACATGGTCTGTAATTATTTAGATTTTATTGTCATGTTGACAATAATTTATATGTTGTCCTGCTGTGGGCAGGGATAATATCCTGGATTATTGTAAATCTGAAAAATCTCTGACTGGAGACGCTGGTGTTGTATCGTAGTCTGATGAAGATAATGCTCTGAATTAATTTTATAAGGAATATTCTTTGCACAATAATCTCCAGAGGTTCCACAGCGTCCAGGTCACATTGAGATTAGAACTCACTTGGGCTTTATGGATGCAGGTGAGGTATTATTTGAGCTTTTGTGATGTTAATCAGCTGCTCCCTGTTACAAACCACCTTGTTGCTATGGTAATGCATCCTAACAAATGGCCAAAAGTAAAAAAGGTATCAGAAAAAATCTTTCCATCTGCACAGCATCCAAAATCAGAGAATAATTGTTCAAAAAACTATTGTTTCTGCTAGAAATAAGGGAATAAAGCTTTTAAAAAAATCAGAACAAAATGAACAGAGCTGCTCCAACATGCTGCCACCTTGAATTGATTGATTCATTGATAGAGTCTCTATCAGATTTAAGTCAGGAATCCAGCTGAACCCAAAAAAGTTAATATTACTTTCACTCAAAAGAAACATGTTAGTGAAAATTACTTTAACCTGATCTCTTTCTTGTTGTTGTTGTTGTTGTTTCACAGTCAGTGTGATTGTAAGTAACAATATTTAGACTACAAAACATACATTCGTTGGACCAATTTGAAAGAGGACGTTCTGTATATATTTTATTTTGAAAGTTCTTTCCGGGGAGCTCGTGCTTACCTCTTCTCGCTATACAGCTGTGTCTTCAGTAAGAAAGAGGGAGGGAGAGAGAGACGGGCATTTGGATCCAAACTTTTTGCGCACACGTATAGTCTGAAATTTTGCCTTCAGTTTTTTAATTTCACCTCCGGAGCTTAGCTGAGCATGCGCAGCGAAGAGGACCGATAAGAAGAAAAAGTAAAGGCGCGCTGGATGTGACTGCCGTAAATTATGCGCCTGGAGGTGATTTACTGACAGGGAAGTTTGCGCCTCCGGGTTGCGGCCAATGTATGGTTGAGCCTGGAAGATATAAGATCTGTGATATATTCTGCTCGAGGGGAACCGATTCACGGCCGTTGTGATGGACAGCCACATGTTAACATGGATGATGATGATGATGATGATGGTGTGTTCGCAAAACTCCGCACCTGAAGGAGGTAACGAAACTGAAACCCAAGTTTGATTCTTTTAAAAAAAAAAATATATATATATATATCATTGTTCTCGTTTATAATGTTGACTTTATTATAACTGAACAAGTAAAAAATACAAATAAATAGACTTAGCTGAATACTTAGATTTCACTTTATTTAACTTAAAATAAAGTGATCAGTGATTTGTAACTTTTAGTCAGTGAACATAAATTAAGTTTAAATGCATTAATGACACAATCATGTCTGTGACTCCTGCCATTAGGAAGTAAAGCGCTCCACTAAATGGAGACTCTGTCTGCTCTGTGGATCAGGGTGGGGTTGATATTACTCCACTGTTCTCACTGACATGGCATGGCTCCAGGTACAAGATTGAGAGTTGATGAAATCCCACTGCCTCAGGCAGGAGGGGGTTCCCAAACCAGAGGGCATCCAGGGACCACTGAGGCATGCAGTGGATGGCCTCCGGGGCCCCAGGACATCAGACATACACATCTCAGGAGTGAAAATAATTGTGGTTCCCCTAGAGCAGTGTTTTTCAACCACTGTTCCGCGGCACACTAGTGTGCCG